GGGGGGGGGGGGAATCTAAGTGCATGATGGAGGAGGAAGGCAGAGTTTGTGAGCAGTATCTGTTTCAATATCCTATTCTGAGATTTTTTTTTTTGGAACTCTGCAAAACATTAAATGCCAGGAACCACTGTACGGGGCTGGGAATGGAGGAGCTTCACAACTACCCTTCCATATTTTAGAAGTGCATCACATAATGAAGGGAAGTTGCAAAATTAAGCATTTTAAATGGCGAATATTATGCCACAGTTTCAAAGAATAGCTCTAAGATGAGCATTCCTTTAACTTCAGTTCAGCTACATTTGACTATTTATTATTTACCTCCTGGGTTTGTAAAAGCTGTATATAATTATTTCTGAATGGGGCCATCTATTAATCAGTCAACCGCATAGCAGGAGGTTATTCTACACAGCAGTTCCTCTGTGATGGGCTGTTATTCTTTTCCTTCATATTCCGTGAAGACAAGGTGAACAAGATAAACTACTGTTTGTAACTGGTAATGTGGTGGCTTTTCAGACCATTACATGGAGTTACAGTCTGTTGGAGAACAGGCTAACATATATCTTGGTTGGGCCAAAAAATATAGATAGTGTTCCTGAGAACAGTATCGTTAAGAAAATATACTCTTAATTTACACATTAAAAAAAAAGAAGCTGTACATTCATAAAGATCCTACTGTGTCCTGAGCATCTGTTTTGCTCTTGCAGTTGATTATCTCCTTTGGCTCAAGACAGCAAATTTTAAACAGGTTTGAGGATAATCCAAGATAGAGGAGAAAAGACTAAATATAAGGTTTAAAAACACTTTCCCAGATATGTGCAAAAATATTTTGTAGGAAAGTGTTTCATACCATGATTTTCTTGTTCTAAAATTCAATGCTAGCTTACCTTCCTCTGACTGAACTTCTTCAAAATGCACTGGGAAATGACAGGAGTAGAATTTTTCTTAAATAAGTCAACAAGCAGCTGCAGTTTTTTGATATACAAAGACTGTTTCAGGTAAGGTCTATTCAATATACTGACAGCCGCTATTCTTTAAAAAAAAAAGTCTTACAAGTTTCGAGTGGGAATGGTTTGTATTCATATCAGCCCATGGCTATGTCTATCACATTGGAAAGGGATGCAATGGAATTAATAAGAGTAATGTATAACTGAGGAGCAATTGCCTGCTTTTGAATAGAGACTTTTCCAGTTTAAGAAATTAAATACCCCTAAAAGCCACTGAAAGTGGAAGATGCCAAACATCTGTGATAGACTTTTAAGCACTATCCAGGTTGGTTAAAAACATTTCTACTTCCTCTCCCCTTCAAAGAAAAGGGAGGGGAAAGGTTTCTTTTGGAGTAGCTCAATCAAGGGAAGGACTTATGAAATTAAGTTTGATGTTGTCTGTTATTTGATTGCTGGAACATATCCAAAGAAGAGGAAAACAATCTGCATTATAAAACTGGCATTCTTAACTACGATTCATGTCTAACATGGCAGGATAATCAGCAAAGGGACGCTTGTTAGTGAAGTGCGTCGCCAGCCCACGCCTCTTACCTGTCATTGTACACTGGTAGTGAGAAACCACTGTTGGGGTGAAGGCTAAAAAAGAAAAAATTAGGGAAAGCAAACTGAATAATAAAACAAATGTGTGTACATATATTTGTGTGTCAACATCTCTACATATACTGTGTGTGTGCAGTGAAATTATGGGTGTGTGTATTTAAGCTGGCACATTGTATTAAAAAAAAAGAAATCACATAAAGGTGGCATTTCAGGTGAGGGGAACAGATTTCTTGCCTAAGTTACCTAAAATAGTCTAAGAGGTAGATTTGTTACATTTTCCTTCTGATATAGATCTCGCTGTGTTTATAATAGGCGTTTTGCATGATTATGTTAGTTATTTTTAAATGGTATTTTGTTGCAATTAAAAACATATTTTTGTTACAATTTAGTGCTGAGCACATGCTAAGCTAACAACCTAGCTTCTGGAAAGTTATAGTTTTAAATCTGTCTCTCCCACAACCTGCACTGATGTCTCTAAAGAGCTCTCTCTTCCCCTTACTGGTTTTTGCCATTGACAAATGGGAGGGACAGGTATGATTAAGAACAAAAATAAATAATTCAGGCAGGAAAACCAAACCTTGTAATTTCCAAGCTTTCCGTTGTTCTTCTTTGGCAATTTGTTCCATGTCTTTGTCGTAAATGTAATCTTGACACATAAAGCAGTATATACCCCCATACAAAAGGTCTATGGCTGCAAGAGAGAAGGGAAGAGAGAGAAAAAAAAATGTGAGTTCAGAACAAGAAGCTTCAAACAGGCTCCCAGTTTTATCATTCTATCATCTATGCTCTCCTTGCTCTTGACAAAAAAAAGCAAAAAAAATTAAAGTATCAGTCAAAAAAACCAAACAAACCCCAGATTTCTCAGTTACAGTACTAGCTATCTAGCTGCTCATAGCAGAGGCAGTCAACAGCAGCACAGTGCAAGGTGCCTCGAGTTCACGTTGTGTCCTACAATATAGACCTCAGACAAAGTATGACTTAAGTCAGCATTTCTCAACCCGTCGGTTTCAACTCAAAAGTGGTCACAACAAACTTTAAAAATTGATCAACAAACTTTAAAAGTGGATTCTCCTTTAAAGGAGAAAAACATGTGAAGCTGTGGCTTTTCCCTTGCAGGCAGGCAGAGTCCCAGTTTGCGAGGGGCTGCCTGTGGCCCTCCATGCCCCACACACCCACCCTCTGCCCCATGCACTGGGAGGCTGGTGATGGGGGCAGCAGGTTGGGAGTGAGGGGCACTGGGCCAGGACTGGCCACTGGTGGCTACAAATGGGTCCTGGTACAAAAAATGTTGAGAACCACCACCTTAAGTAACCAAAAGGCATAATTAAAGCAACGAAGTAACAATGCATGCAGAACTGGTATTGTAACACAATCTGAAGATCTGATAGGTTGTCTTGAATTGATTTTTTCTGTTTTTAAACCACAGAGCTGGTGTTTCTGGTCAAACCCATTACACAACTACAAGAGTAGATTTAAAGCCAAAGTGAATGTTCAAACAAAGCAGGCAATAAATATGTTAAAATGTTAATACAAGTCCAATTTTTGAGGCCAATAGCCTTTTGCCACGTAGACTTCTGCAAAGAGAACACTTTTTTCTGTTTTCTCTTGTCTGCTGGGTTATGTCTATGTGGACAAAATAGTTATGGCCAGTGTTGCAAGATTTCTCTCTCTTTAAAGATCAAAGACAGACAAATCCCTAAGTAACTGGAAGAGTTGTAATGAAAAAAATCAACTGACCAGACAAAGGACATTTCCTTAATATACTGGCTGAGATGGAAGTACATTAATTTTATTCAGAGCAAGCTGCTGATATTCACTCTCTCAAAGCAGACCAAATGATAAAGTGACAGAAGATAAATAGGCAAGGCTAAAGGATGGACACTGGCTATGAACTACAACCCAGCAGGACGGCACTGGGGGCAACCAAGCAGTGCACTGTTGCTCCCCCAAACTTTGACTTTTCTGCTTCTGAATTCCCGATATTAAGCACTCTCTACAACGCAAACTTGTTTTAAACAAAGGAAATGCAATATATTGCTCTAAATAATTCCAAAGTGTCTGTTAGAAACAAAATGCAGCTGGTAACCTGTTGACCACCACCCATAGGCCAGCAGACTGGCTCTTCTTCTGGCTTCTCCCACCATCCAAGGGACTGCTCATGCAGTCCTCTACCCAGTGCCCATCTCACTGGCTCAGGAGACTAACTATAGATGAACTCGGCCTGTTAGACCCTCCACTATTTCAGCATGACCTAAAATCAAAGGCTGCAGAAACTCCCCCACTGGAAGTTTTGTAACCTCCTCCACCATGCCCTCAACAGCTTTGATTCTGAACATCTTTCTTCCTCGGTGGATAATTCTTTCAAGGCCATCCTCACAGTCTCTCTTACTCTGATATCCTCCCTTCTCTCTAGACTTTCTTTCCGTCTCCTCATACTACCCCTATGCTCCGATTAGGTCATTTCTTCTCCTGGCTCACTATCCCTACTATATATAATTTAAAACAGAGAAAACAATAAAAAAAACACTCCACTTGATGCTCACCACTAACCCTCCTGTATATGCTATATCCTATCTTCATAATCTTCACTTATCTTCCTATTGCAATCTGTTTGGGGCAGGAGCTGCCTGTGATCGCCTTCTGTACGGTGTCTAGGACAACAGAGCTCTGATCCTGACTTGGGACCTATCAGACACTATAGGAATAAATAATAATAAACATCCGTATCAGAACAGCACTACAACGGATAAGAGTCTTGCTAAGGCCATGCCCAAGAATGGAAAAGGGAGAAATGTTGCAAGAGCACAATTAAGCTACACTGGTAGAAGCGTTAACTGCCTGATACCTGCTCCCACTACAATCATGTATTACCTACCCTAGATTTTCATTAGAACCAATAGCCATTGGCTCTTCTTGTTCAATGAAGAATTCATTATAGCTCTCCAGTACCGGCACAAAAAGCAGGTAGTAGTAGTGGCTTTACAATTACTTAGGGGCACGAGAGAGCGACCTGGAACATGAGGCACATGTCAGTCCTCAGAAATGCAAACTACACGCCAACCATCCTCATGTACTGCAGAAAGTCGGTTTGCAACCATGTATCTGTCAACCATCTGGCTTTGTTCAGCAAGGTGGCAAGCAGAAGGAAACCCTTCAGGAGACAGAGTAAACTGCTCATTCAGATCAGGGTGAATAGGAAATCTGGGGAATAAAGAGAACCAAAGGACAGCAGGAACATGAGGCTGGATAAATTTCATAATTGTTCCCAAGCCTGATTAAGGGCTCTTGAAGACAAGTTCTCCTTCAGCGCACTTGTGTACACAGTGCAACGTCTGCTGTATATACTCCAGTACTTTGTGTCATTAACAAGATTGCAGCAGCTTTTGGGTAAATTATCTCAAGTACCAAGAAAAACAGTTCATACAGGCTTGATGACAGCAGACTAGGACAGGACGCTGTAATACTGTGGAAATAATCTGGCTGCTGGATTCAAACGTTCTAGGGGGGAACAAAGTGAATGGAATTTATTTGCTGTTAAAAAAGATTGCTAAACCTTTGTTAAGTGAAGGTTCATAATTAATCCATCCTATACTTTCCACCCCAAAAACTACCTACTTTTCCTGAAGTAAAACAGAAAACTGTATTGGAAGGAGCTCTGCACAGAGCCCTATGTTACAAGCATGCAGCTTCTTTGGCTACCAAGTTCTTGAGCTGCTGGTGGACAAGGTTCTTTGGGGAAATGTGGTATCTTTTATTACACGAACTAATTAGTTGGAAAAATTGTTCTTTGCAAGCTTTTGAACACAAACACCCATCTTCAGCTGGTGTATGCATCAGATGTGTCAGAGTGTCGGTATTCATGCAAAAACTGTTCTCCGTCTCCCCATAACAGTTCCATATCCACAGAAATCAGATTGTTGACACATGCGACTAAAAGCCAGAAAAGAAAGGGTTTCACGCATTCTTCACAGTTAAAAAGGAAAGGAGCATGTAGTCCCTTAAAGCAGGCAGGTCATTAGCATTAGCTGAAGACATGCACACGTGCTGCATTTCAGTACTTCCTTCAAGCCATTTATGAGACTGGTAACTCTCTAAGAAGTTATTTTTTTTCCTCAAATGAGCAAAAAGAAGTTATTTCTGTCAGGCTGGAAAAAACAGGAAGCAGTTTGTTCTGAATCTCCACCCACCCCAAGTGCTCCACGCACAGCTGCAGCATCTAGACCAGGGCTTGGCAATCTGCAGCCTACAGAGATTGGATCTGGCCCATGGCAGCAGGGGCACCTTCTTCACCCCGTCCCAAGCATTCCTCTGCCACGTGCTGCTGAGCCCGTCTACGGTGTCCAGCAGGTGGCCATCTCAGCCTTCCCTGCCCTGTCCCAAGAGCTGTTCTCTGGCCCTGAGGGCTCTGCTTTTACCCCTGCCATGGAATTCATTGTTCCCCACCCTCGCTGGCGATGGAAACTGCAGCAGTCAGTGGAGAGGGTAAGCAGAGGCTGTAGTAGGAGCCTGAGTGTGAGAGCAGTCCTCAGCAAAGAGGTGCAGCAGAAAGGGTCAACAGCTTGGGACAGTGGCTGGGTTACAAGCGGCAGCCCGCTGTTTGAAAGGTTGCCAACCCCTGCTCGAAACAGTATATCTAGATGTTTCAGTCTGATCTGCAGCTGGAATTACGCTTCCGGCTCCTGTCTGCCATACATGCTCCTTTCCCAGGACTACTGCTCCTGTGAACTCTAAGATCATGTTGTGGCATACTCACTACTGCAAGGAGACTCCCCAGAAGCTTTGAGATCTCATCCAGTTACTCCTGCTGATATCCTCTGCCATCATCTCCTATTACTGATATTGCTGTACCTCTCTGCTACAGCAGGGAAAAGATTCCTGGTGGTAGCTCCTCATGCCGTTGATGCTTCATGGCAGTGACATCTTTCTGTAAGCAGTTCTGATGCTGCTGCTTCTGCTGCCTGATGCTAACAGACACAGGGAGCCAGCTGGCCCAAGAAAAAAGCTTTTGTTTCTGTTCTTAGGCAGCTGCTATTTTAAAGTTGGTGACACTAGCTCTAATTGGACAGCGGTGCTGACAAAGGTAGGAAAAGTATGGGGACAAGGCAAAGAAGAGTCAAAAAAGAATTGTTGACATGGCATATGGATGCATGACCAGTCTTTCTAGGCCCTGCTCATTTCAACAGTCAAATATGATATGCTGTACCATCAGACATTCATTTTCTTGCCACTGAATTTTCCAGCAGGACCTACCTATATGAGGTTCTCAGAAACAAAGGCAGCATTATTAGGGATTGATTTTGTTTGGAGTTTTAGTTCAGCTCTGATCCAACTATGTGCAGAACTCACTTGCAGCAGCCACAGCCCTTCCAACAAAAAGCAGGAGCATGAGTGGGAAACAGGAACAATATAAAACCACTAGAGGAAAATGGCTGGCTCATTTTTATGGGGACAGAGATGGAAAGTGCTTTGAGAAATCTCCATATGGCCACCTCACTGGATTTGGTAAATGTAATGCCCAGATTGTCATTGCAGGTGTCCAGAAATTGGTATTTTTGTACAATACAACTAACAAAGGGCAGTACCTATGCAAAACAAAGCTGTTCAAAATGGTATTAGGCAAGTCACAAAATGAACAGGTACAGAAGTTCAATCCGATTCTAAATATATCAGGCAAGGCACTGAGTTTTAATG